ACCCAAACAGATGTTTTAAGATAAATCCACCTCACAAAACAACGGAAGTGTAAAATTTTCTCCTCTTGCTTGTTCGTTTAGCTGTATGTATTTACTCCCGTAACTTTACGATGTAGCGGAAGTCCCCTTTGCAGTTTTTCAAAATAAAAGATCAGTTTTGAATCTCGTTTTTAGAGTTAACAGGGTTACTCACAATGGATGTTTATAAAGTTAGTGTCTAATTATCTTTGGTAACTTTGTCTTGTTGTATGATGTGTCAGCTAACATCAGTTATTGGACATTAAATGAAACAGAATGTGTTGATTTGCTAGAGGGGGTAATATACTAGCATTAGAACACCTGCACTTTTAAAATCACTGCTCCACCCCGATCATATGCATAGGAATATACATTTTCTTCCTATTCATTGGCAGGAGTGACAGTCAGATCCATGTTTATTAATGTTAAACAGAGGCAGAATCAGTTGGACTCATCCATGTGACGTCCCGTCTTTTAATGTGGAAGTAAACGCAAACGTACTAAAATGTCTCCAGGAGACCCTGTGGTTTATTCATTTCAGAATTTCTTTCAAAATATTCTTTTCAAGTTATTTTCCTATACATTGCTTAACTGCTGTCTTCAACCTGCAATATGTTCTTTCAGCTTGAGTGACTTACTTTAATTTGATTTCATGTGTGATATTTATAAAATATTGAACATATCCATACATTCATTTGAATGAATAAGATTTACACGTTTTTGTTATTGAATGTTGATCACATAAAGTTTATAACAAAAAAAAGAGAAATCTCCATCAGGCTGCAGTGCAGCCCAACTGCGGAACACAACACCACGTTGCTAAGCAACGTCACAAACTGTTGTTTTTTAAAAGGTCAAAGGCTTTCTTTGAACTATGACATCACATTCCGTAAGAACAGAGAGAGCGTTGATAAAGCATCATATATTTTTAATACTCATCAGTCTGAGATTATACAGCGTGCAGTCTGAGATTATACAGCGTGGAGCATTTACAGCGCAACTTCTCATTTAAACAAATGGAAGCAAACAAAATGGAAGCAAATGACATCTACACCATAGAAGACCTAGTGTCAGTCAACATGGAGGACAACTTACTTCCAGAAAAGAACGCTGAAATCGTTCAACTGAGGAAGGAATTGAAGAACAGAGATGAGCAAATTGCTATCCTGAAGAGGGATAAAAAGGGTCTCATAGCAGACCTGAAAACCAAAGAGGAAGACAATAAGAAACTCTTAGAGAGTCGGGATAAAAAGACTCATGATTCACAAAATCAAAAATACGTAGGTGAAATTAAATATTTAGAGCTGGAGTTGAGTAAAATGCAGCGTGACTACAAGAAAGCGTTAGCTACACAAAAGAGGAGGAATGAAGCAGAGGGTGAGAAAAAGACGAAGGAGGAGGTGCAGAGAGCAGTCGGTCTATGTAAACAGCACTGGAAAGATGTTGTGATCAAGATGGAGAAAGAGAAAAAGGAGCTGCTTGAAAAGCACAAAACAGAAGTGAAGAGCTTGAATGAACAGGTGAAAGAGATGAAAAAAGAAGTGGACAAGACACAAAAAGTGAATAATCATCTCACACATGAGGTTGAGGTTTTAAAGAAAGACGTAGCACAAAAAACAATCAAAATCAAAAACCTCCGATCTGCGCTAGTCGTAGTTAAAAATAAAAAAGGAGAGTGTGTGAATTGTAAAAAGCATGGTCTCTTACAAGAGAAACAAGATACATTTCCCAAATATTGCCAGCAGCTAACGGTCAAGTTAAAAAAAAGTCTGCAAGAACTGGTGAGTTCAATACGATTAAATTTGGAGCTAGTGACTGAAGTTAATAGGCTGACAGAAAAGCTAGAAAAAAATGATCCAAAGATGACGAGAGAAAGATCTATCGCTCACAATAGTCGTCACACTGATGAAGACACCAGAGAGAGCCACAAGTTCACAATTGATTGTCTCCAAATGAAGCTGGATGCCAGTCTTATTGCGATCGAGAAGGAAACCATCAAAACTACGGAACTGGAACTGTCCGAACAAACTCAAAGATCTGATGCCGACAAAATCTACCTCATGAATCAAAACCATGAGCTGGCCAAACAAACTCAAAGATCTGATGCCAACAAAATCTACCTCATGAATCAAAACCATGAACTGGCCAAACAAACTCAAAGATCTGATGCCGACAAATTCTACCTCATTAATCAAAACCATAAACTGGTCGAACAAATTCAAAAATCTGATGCTGACAAAATCTACCTCATGAATCAAAACCATGAACTGGCCGAACAAACTCAAAGATCTGATGCCGACAAAATCTCCCTCATGAATCAAAACCATGAACTGGCCGAACAAACTAAAAAATCTGATGCCGACAAATTCTACCTCAGGATTCAAAACCAAGAACTGGCCGAACAAATTAAAAAAACTGATGCTGACAAATTCTACCTCATGAATCAAAACCATGAACTGTCCGAACAAACTCAAAAATCTGATGCCGACAAAATCTACCTCCTGAATCAAAACCATGAACAGAAGATGTTAATCGAAATGATAAGAGTAAAAATGGAGGGGGCTAACAAAAAGTAAAGCTCAATCCAAAGCGAAGTCAGAAACCAGTAAGTTTCTCGATTGGCACAAACTAAAAAGTATGTGGCACAAGCAAGATCATAAACTGCTTACACAGGAAGAGACTTCCATCCAGGAGGCTGCCTCTCACTCACCAGACTCCAAACAACCCAACCCACAGAATATTTCATCTGGTAATTCCTCTGAGAGCAAACCACAGGTTAAGACCGCTTCCATAGAGGTGAAGCCCTATCAGAATAAGGATGATGAACTCCCACCACCTGACATCTGAATCTCCCCCATAAAACTGTGACCCTCTGCCACTCATTGAGTTCTTTATCCGACCTTGACCCCGTGACACCAAACAACTCCCTAAAGACTCCACATCTGAGTGCAGAAGACGACGCGGCGACCCAGCGGTTACCTCTGTCTTCTTGCCCTCCTTACCACTTCTGACGGGTTTACTCCGAGTGCTTCGGTTTCCCCTTCAATTAAACATTAGACACTCTAAATTGTTTTAAACCAATCAATAAATAAATGAATAATAAATAATAATAATATAATAAATGTGAAGCTCAAGTTTATTGTGTTAACCCTGTCCTACATGTGTCAGTAACTGTCACTGACTGAGACTCTTTTCTGTGAAAATTGACTAGCAGCCATCTAATCAAGTACAGAACATACAGTAACTCATTTATTATTAACATGAGCTCAGTACATGGCTGTATTCTTCAAACTATTTCTTATACTTTATATCTATGTGCTTTATATCTTATTTTCATTCCATATGTTATTTATATTTTATATTTCTACAGCTATATTCTGTGTATGACTTCAGTGAAAATTAATATGGTTATTAATATAGTTCTTAATGGTTACAGATGCTCTTACAAAGTGCATTTTTTTTTAATTTGTTAACAGTTTGCTCAAATCAAAGACACTACATCAACCATGTAACTTTAATGTCATCCTCTATAACCTACACAGCACATTAGGTTCAGTTCAGTTTATGTTACTGACGGATAATTACTACACAAAGTTTGTTTTTTAATGTCCACATTTAGGTGGAGTATAACATTCATCATAACATCAGATAACCATATTTACAATCTGTGGTTAACCACCGAGGTGAACCTTTAGCTTCTAACATCAACAAACTCATTATTTTCAACATCTTAACAACAAACATTTCTAAACCATTGACCGTAAATAATGTAAATAATAAGCTACACAGTTAGTCGACTGGTTTACAAGCTAACGCTAAACAAGCTAGGTCCGTAAATATAAATACCAACACACGAGTAAGCAGTAAATATAACACTACTATATCACTTACCGAAGAAAACTGAAGCATCAACTTGTTGGATGGTCTGTTAACTGCACAGCAAGCCGTGTATGTTGTCAGATATGTGTTAAACAAACTCTCCAAACGAAGTAAAAAAGAGGAGAAATCAGACGCATCAAGCTGTTAGCCTCCTGACCTGCTGACCTCCTGACCTCCTGACCTGCTGACCTCCTGACCTGCTGACCTGCTGACCTCCTGACCTGCTGACCTCCTGACCTGCTGACCTGCTGACCTCCTGACCTGCTGACCTCCTGACCTGCTGACCGCACAGAGCCGTCAATCAAATCTGACACAACCAAATATGGGCATAGTCGTTTTCCTTAAAATAATAAAATCCGATGAGTTATAAAAAAATTCACCCCCCCCCCCCAGTGTGAGGAGAAGGGGCCGTCAACTTCTCAGATATGTCTCGTTTTTTGAACCAGGCTGTAAACATGTTGATTCCTGTGGTAAAAACGGGCTTTTTTGGCTGTGGGCTTATGGCACTTCCGGCGCTTCTGCAGCCAGCCTCAAGCGGAACCTCGAGGAACTGCAGTTTTTTGTACTTCCGCATAGGCTTCATTTTTCGAGACTGGAGGTTTCCCCTTGGCCCATACCCGTGTGCATGACATCAAATTAAATGGCTCCGCCCTTTACTACCTGAAGGCAACCTGAGAGATACAAGGCAATAGGAGAAGTATTGACACAGGAGTCATCGCACAACATAATTTTGTTATTTGTGTCTTTTAATGTCGAATGTATTAGAAAGATTGGCTGCTCGTCGTCCGTGTGAAACTCTGTTAATGTTTTTGCTGCCTGTCTTGGCCAGGACACTCTTGAAAAAGAGATTTTTTAATCTCAATGAGTTTCTTTCCTGTTTTAAAAAAAGGTTAAATAAAAATAAATAAATCAAAATTCCTGGTTAAATATGTTCATGAATGAAACGCTGAAACAAACCATTGACCTAAGCTACACCTTACACATGCGCAAATCGACCCCCGAAAGGCAATGATTTTTTTCATTATTATTTTATTTTGGCGTTGACATCAAAAACTTTTATTTTGAAGACCCAGGAAATAACCTGTGCAGCGTTGTTGTCGCCGGCTTGATGTTATGACGTCATCGGGGCGGAAGTCCGTGTTGTAAATAAAACTGTGGACACCTGAGCAGTAAATCATCGAAGCTCTCTAACAACAACAGGAACAGACTGTAAGTGTGTGTGTGTGTGTGTGTGTGTGTGTGTGTGTGTGTGTGTGTGTGTGTGTGTGTGTGTGTGTATTAAATTAAGATATTTAAGGTAACATTCTGATTACTGATGTAAGGAAATGTTATGTTGTGTTAATATTTAGTGGAGTAAGGATTTCCTAAAAAGAGAGTTTAGTGGTTGTTGTTTTTAAATCTGTGTTAGGATGATCTGGATTATTTTGATTGATTTGAGATCACGATTATTAAACACCATTACTCACTGATTTCACAACATCTGCATCACATGCTTTATCACACTCCTAATACTCTGAATACAAGAGCAATACATGACAACAGAGAAGTGAAAAATATCAATATATAAAACTAAGAAGATATAATAATAAATGCATTTTAAAAAGTTTGAGGTAATGGTGATGTACTCTTTGGTTTCTTGTTTTCATGATTGTGGGAAGACAAAATTGTAATTGAAACTTGATTAAATTGAAACTTAATAATTAACTCCTTGTTCACATGGCTGGGGAGGCGTTTCCTTCAGCTTGTTTGTGTTTTGCTCAGAGGCTCTAACATGATGACTCCAAAGCCCCCTGCTGTAACAGATGAGGGACGTCACTCAATCCTCATCCGTTAATATTTACACTCTATGTGTGTGTTCCCTTACCTCTCCAACTATTAGCCCTGCTGCCACGTGGGGTAAGACAGACGGCCACGTCCACTCAGGGTCTCCAATGATGAAAAATGAAGCAAAAGTGGAAGTGTAAAAACCGCAGTTCCTCGAGTGTCCGATTGAGCCTGCCTGTAAAGCACACCTGGGGAAGCTGTGGCTCAATTGGTTTAGTTTGTCGTCTTTAATCCAGAAGGTTGGGGGTTCAATCCCCAGCTCCTGCAGCCACATTTCTGATGTGTCCTTGTTGCTCCCGCTGCTTCGTATGAATGGAATTAGTTTCTTCTGGTGTGAAAGAGCTTTGAGTATTCAATTCAATGCAAAAAAGTGTATTTGTCTCCGGGGGGCAATTCAAGAAAGTAGTAGTCAGAAGACTAGAAAAGAAATATACAAGCTCAAGCCTATTTACCATTTACAACCTAACCGCAAGGCCACCAGTTCCCCGAGTTTGCCCACATGTTTACAGTGAATATTCAGTGGTTTTGAATTAAAAAAAAAAAAAAAAAGCATAGAATAAAAAAGTTGTCCTGAATGTTGTTTAAAGTCATGTTGTGTGTCTGAGTTAAACTGAATGTGTTTCCCTTTAATCGCAGAAGGAAGAATAATCACGGGGGGGGGCGTGTCCAGTCTGCAGACACAGAGCAAAGGTAAGCAGCTTTAAGATTTCCTCTTAAACGTCCAGTTTGGTGAACTCCTCCTGACAACAGCACAGCAGTAGTCTGATTGTTGTTTTTTCACCTGTTGAATCAGAGAAACAGAGTTTGACAGTTTTTTTGTTGGTCTGTTGCTCAGCATGAGTGAGCATATCTGTGCCCTGTTCAAAAATAGCCTCCAGTCTGTTTCTATGAATAACAGCAGCACTGGCTCAGTCGAAGGGGGGGGGGGAGTGGACTCTGCAGATCAAATGGAGGAATGTATTTTGTTCCACCAATGGGGGGCAACAGAGGAGAAGAGTCTAGTCAGAGACTTAGGACCCTGTTGTGAAGGTTGGATCAGACGCCTTTCATTGGCAGAGCGTAGAGGGGGGAGGGAGTGTAGACCTGGATCAGAGAGTTAAAGTAAGGAGGAGACGTTTTGTAAGCGAGCAGCAGAGTTTTAAATTTGATGGGAGCAGGAACTGGGAGCCAGAGTGAGATTTTGTCCAGCTCTGGGAACCATATATGAACATTATAGAAGCCAGGAATATAGGCTTCACCTGAACAGAAATTGTATTTTTTTTTGTTATATCTAAAAATGTGTTGAGTTGAGTGTGGGCATGTGAGTTTGTGTAATTTGTCGATACATGTCATGGGTTTAAGGTCTGAAACTGTTTAACTGTTACTGTATGTTTCCTTTGTGTTTATACAAAATGCCAATAAAAATATTGGAAAAAAAAAAACAAACAAAAACTGGGAGTCAGAGGAGGGAGATGAACGGCGCAGGGACATGTGCTCTTTTTCATCTGCAGGGGTTTGATAGTGCATGTAGGAAGACCTGCCAGTAGAGTTACAATAGTCAATAGTTTTCCATTTCAGAAAGGAAGGTAACTCAAACCTGAGAAAGAGGTGTAATTCACTTTAGAACTCTACATGTTGCAGATGTTTTGTGTCTCTGGGGGATCTTGCTGTATGAGAATTAAAGGCCTGTTAAAGTACTCTCTGACAGTAATTCATAATCTGGACCTAGTCTCCACACAGTCCTTGAGTTCCTCTGTGTCTCCTCTTGTCTTCCAGCAGGTTGAACGTCACATGTAAGATGTCCTCTCCAGAGATCGCCTCTCTCTCCTGGGGACACATGAAGGTGAAGGGATGCTCCTCCAGCTACAAAGACTGTAAGGTGTGGCCTGGAGGCAGCCGGGCCTGGGACTGGAGAGAGACTGGGACCGACGTGAGTGAAATCCAGAATCTAAACCCTCAGCAAATAAGAAGAACGAGAAAAACTAAACTCATGGTGCTTTTTACTAACTTCAGCATCACCCAGGAGTCCAACCTGCTGACCTGGAGGAGGTGCTGAAGAAGGGGGTCGACCTGCTGGTGATCGGCAGAGGCATGAGTGAAGCTCTGCAGGTGAAACAACTATTCAAAGAAAACATTTATTTATTCACTCAAAGAATGAAAATGCAGTTAGAGGAATACAGAGAGAGTTCCTCGTCACACTAGAGCTTCTGGGGAAAACAACAGCTGGGAGAGTTTGCATACAGGTGAACAAATAAAATAAGTGGGAAAAAATGGATTTGAGCAAATGTAGAGCTCTCACTTTGTCTTTATCTCCTCGATGAGGAGGGGGAAACATTTCATAAAAAGCAGAGGTAAAGCCTCCTACTGGTTTTGATTGCCTGCTTCTTAAAAAGTGACCCTGATGAGCGCTGCGAATCTGCGACTTGAGCTGAACATTTAAAAAATGTTTGAACTTTTATGCACGACCAAAGACTGCTTGAGAAATGTGTCACACAGCAGCAGAGAAGAGCGCCCGACATGAGCCCTGTCCCATAGACAAACAATGGTTTTATTGGTGACATTTGTCCAGCTATAGTCTCTGTGTGATCGAGCCCTAAGAGGTACAAGATGCTTCAAATGGGACACAGATTTTAAGGGGGAAAATCTTCTGACTTGACTCGAGTGTGATCAGTTGACAACTAGAATATGTTATTTACAATAAGAGTATTATTTTTCTCCAACAGTAATTTTTTTTCTCTCTCTCTCTCTCTTTCTCTCTGTCTCTCTCTCTCAGGTCCCCTCCACCACTCTGGACTTTGTGAGGCAGAGCGGCGTCGACGTCAGAGTCCTGCAGACGGAAAAGGCCGTAGCTGAATACAACAAACTGGCCGGCCAGGGCGCCAAGGTGGGCGGGGTTTTCCACTCCACCTGTTAATGAGATCACTCTTAAACCTGGCTAAAACTTCAGCGGCGTAGGCCTGTACCTACGGAGAAGTTTACGCATGAAGCCTTCTGTGCATCTTCACAATGATGTAAGCGACGCAGCCTCAAGCCCTGTGATTGGACCGCTGGGTAGCATCACATTTCTTGCATTTCAAAACATTTCTGGTATCGTTGCCATTTTCAAAATTCTGCAGAATAAAATAATCAGCAGCTGCTCAGTATTTATCAGACACACACCAAGTATTGGCTAGCTCCTGCATTCTTAGACCTGCTGCTTTAGAGCTACATCTTGAATGTGAGCGTCCAGTTTGACAGAGGAAAGCTTTTATTTGAGGTTTTACTAGTGGAACTGTTGAAGAGCACTTAGAGAATATGAGGGTGAGTAGATATTAAAACAAGTGAATTCAAAGAGCGAAGAGTCCAGCTGGAGAGGTCTAACCTCTTCAAATGTTGATACAAAGAGCAGGAAACACTATCGTCACCTTCCTTTTAAAAAGTGATTTTTGTGTTGATGCTTTTTTCACGTCACTTTGGAGGCGCATTTTGTGGAATATTTAGAGTTTTTAAGATATTAGCTAAAATAAGGAGTTTGTATATGTTGGTGTTGAGTAAATGTAATTAATGTGCAGTTTATTGCAGTGTATTTCTGCTTGTTTGTCGTTTAATAAACACAGAACAAATCATTTCATTGACATGGGTTTGTCTTTATCAGAAACAAATATACAAAAATACTTCCCGACACAAAGAGAGTAAAACTACGTTTGTGCTTCTTACAGCCTTCTCTCGCCCGAGGAGAGAAAGTCAAAAGCATTTCTTCTTTCTGTACACTTTTTAAATTCACAAAGTCACTCGCATGATGAGTCAGCGTCTAAGTTAAGGAGAAAAACATGAACTCTTTGTAGAAAATGTCAGTTCAGAGTTTGTTTGGAGTCTTTTTTTTTAGCGCCGGGAAGGTTTGGGCATGATGTAGACTTTGACAGACTTGCTGAACGGAATGGTTCCCTCCACGGCGGTCTCCGGCGGGGGGAGGCTGTCGGTGCTGTCGCTCCATCCCAGCTTGGAAGCCAAAGAAGGGGAGGAGAGGGAGGCTGAGGAGGAGCTGTAGGCCAGGAGGAGGCGCACCTCGATCTGTGACGGCTCTGAGAGAGAAAGACGAAGAGGGAAGAAACAGTCGATAAAAGAAACATCAAACTGATGATCAACAGAAAGGGTGGACCTTCTGTTCTTGTTTCTTTTACTCTCAGGTTTGATATGAATCTTGAGCTAAAGTCCATGATCTGACACAGAAACCGAAGAAATGAATTGAAGTTCAGGAGAGCATGTAAGATAAGATTATCCCACAACGGGGAAATTTACATTGTTACAGCAGCAAAGAGCAAAGATTGCAAACAAAAAGTGAACACAGTACAATTTAAATAAAAAATGTACAAAACATAGATAAGATACCACAATATAGATTTAAAAAAAGTAGATCAACTGAGAGCTGCATGTGACAAAAGCTTTATTCATTTTTAACCAGTTAATTCTTCAAACTTTTAAGGAGTTTGTCGAAATTAAAACAGCTGACTTTGTCTTTAAAACAGAAACGTGTGTGTGTGTGTGTGTGTGTGTGTGTGTGTGTGTGTGTGTGTGTGTGTGTGTGTGTGTGTGTGTGTGTGTGTGTGTGTGTGTGTGTGTGTGTGTGTGTTATACTGACCTGTCCAGGCGGTGTGTGAGAGGTACACCTGTGTGATGAGTCTGTGTCTGTCAGGTCCAGGTTTCCTGAAGTCTCCAGGTTTAGGGTGGATCACATGACTCTGGCCGTCTGGATACAAAACCTGTGGAGACACGAGTCCTTTAAATCCTGTATTCAACGTTCTGCTTTCCATTTGAGACACAGCCGCCCTGAACTCTGCGCTCAGTCACAATCAGTATATATCCACTCTGCACAGAGAGCGAGAAAAGAAGAAGAAGAAAAGGAGCGAGCTGGCCCGGGTGTTTGACCTCAACAAGAACTTGTTAACAAATTCATTTCAGTCAGCGCAAAAGGCCGATGGGAGCTAACGTTAGCCAGGAGGCTACTGATCGAATGTGCATACATTGATTTAAATCATATCCTTCGAGGGTCCAATCGCTGGCCCAGACATTTCTGTGGGCGGGGCTTGTCATGCTCATTTTAGCAACAAGGCAATTCAAACAAAGAAGAGATCAAAAGCATCATGCTGAAGGGAAAAATAAAGACAGTAAAAGAAGGCTGAAGGCGAACTGTCCATCATTCATTTATCATCAAGTGAAAAGTATTTGTCAAATGTTTCTGTTTTTGTCTGTTTCACTGAATTCAAACTCATTCTGAAAGATTTCCCAGAGTCCACCGGGGGATCAAAACTCTTAATCATGTCACCCACCTGTACTTTCACTGTGTTCTGGGGGTCCTGGACGTGCTCTAGGGTTGCATCGATGTCCAGCGCCACCACCAGGCCAGACGTGAACTTCAGCGGGTTGTCAGACTCTCCTGTGGGCTCTATGATGGTGGCCGTCGCACGGTGGATCTGTCAAACCAGCAGGGAAACGTGAATGATAAATACACATCAGTGGGTTATGTTGCTGGAGTTTGTACTGCTGTGGTAAAAAAAAAAATACAGCCTGCTAATGTTTGTGAGAGGATAAGAAAGTTCAGTCTGGACTCGTTCTTCCTGAAGAAACGGGTTTTTCACCTGTTGGGGCAGTCTGAGGTGCAGCAGGCTGCTCTGTCTCAGGGTCGTCTGGAGGATCCTCACCATCTCCACGGGTTTACAGGACGACAGGCGGGGCATCAACTCCAACAGCTTGTCCACAAAACTGTCCTGGAGGTGGGGCAGCTCGGTCAGAAACAGCCTGAGGGGGGGCAGAGAACATGATAAAACACTTAAGACGACATAGCGCCTGCCACAGGAGATCAGACTTACACATTCAGTCCCTTGTTTTACATCTCTACTCAAGACATTCTTTTATAAAAATGTTTTTACTCTGTGATTTCAGTAATTGTTCTTAGTTTTAATTTCTTAGTCTGATTTTGTTGTCTGTTTGTTTCCTCTCGTCCTGTAGCTTTAATTTCTCTGCTTTTATTTCCTGTTGTAAAGCACTTTGTTACTCGTATAGAAAAGTTCTATACAAATAAAGTATTATTATTATTATTATAATTATAATTAAGAAATTTAAATGTGCCTGATCAGTGGAGGCTCCGGCCTTCACATCACAAGTCTAACACATTAAGGTGTCACCATACCAGAATTGAATCTTCAATACAACACTAGTCAAATCAAACAATATCCATAGATTCTTTCTCACTCATTAGAATAAGTGCTAACACCTGCACACTGTCTGAAATCTCAACGTATTTGTGCATTTACGACAGTCTTCTCCTGATTTTGCTCACTGCAGCTTTCTGTTAAAAACCTGACTGAGGATCTGTTTTTTAAGCTTCTGTACTTTTCCATTGTAACACTCATTCATATGATGGATTGTATCGTTTTAAAAACACATGATATCGGAAAGTATTGAAAGTTTTGACATCAGCACACATTCAGGTTTAAATAATCTGTCTACAGTAAAATTACTTTTATCTATTTATATAGTTGAAATGCACTTCTCTGTCTCATAAAGCACGGTCGAGGGATTGTTATTGCACTATACAAAAATGCGCGGACTACGAGAAGGTCCTTAAAGTTTGAGTTACAAAGAGAAAAAGATCTCACCTCTGAAAAGACTCAATATCCTGCAGAAACTTTTCACAGCTGCTGATGAGGGGATCCAACCTGAAAAAGGAATGATTCATTAAGAAGATGCTGCACAAAAGTGTGCTCTACGTGGAGGTGTTTGTGTTTTTACTGACCCTTGTCTGGTGCGGGCTGTCAGGACGAGCTGCAGAGCTTTGGCTTGTAGCCGGACATGATGTATAGTAGCCACCTGTCTGCTTTCCAAACCACTGTACAAAAACTCCAGCTTGTAGGTTTCTTCCAAGATCTAAAAAAACCCCCAAAAAACGGGGGACACATTTTAACATTTTTAACAGACAGAAGTCGCCCTGAGGGATCTCAAAGGGGAGGTTAATCCAGCGTCTGCTGACCTGCTGAGCTGCAGCGGTGGCCGTGACGTTTTGTTTGAGGCAGAGAGGGACGGCCATGTTCCACAGTCTGTCCTGCAGAGCCTGCAGACGAGATAAACATCCAGGTTCCTTATTTTCAAGACCATCGTTCAGTTTCTCAAAGTCACTCATGCTAATGGTTCCTTTACAGCACTCTGAGCAGCATGTGTTTGTTTTTTATAAATACATTTCGATGGAGGTAACATAAGACTGATGATGTAATGTTAGACAAAATGTAGAAGTCATAACCTTACCTTCATGAGCAGCAGCTGGCAGCGCAGGTATGTGGCACAGAAATCAGCCGCTCCAGCCAGCTCTGTCTGCAGCTCGCCGAGCCGCCGCAGGTCTCTGACAGAGGGACAGGAAGTCGAGGTATCATTACAACCCAATCAGAGCTACAAACATTACTTCAAAAAAGTAATGGAAGTTACCATCTTCGCTCACAGGATTTACACCTTCTAACCATCCCTAAAGCCCGTACTGAATTAGGAAAAAGGATGTTCAAGTATGCTGCTCCCTCTTCTTGGAATCAGTTGCAAGATACTTTAAATCTTCAGGAGCTGGTTTCCTTGAATGTTTTTAAAGGTCGTCTTAATGATCTGGAGGCAGAAACATCTGACTGTAGATGTTTGAGCTAACTCGTATTGCCCTCTTTGATCGCTTTGTTGCTCATGACTTATGACAGATTCTGATTCTTTTTGTGATTCCTGTATTTATGTGTTTTATGTCTGAAACCCTGGAACTGTGCTGCTGCCTGTCTTGGCCAGGACGTTCTGGTAAAAGAGATTTTTAACCTCAATGAGAGTTTTTCCTGGTTAAATAAAAAAAAACCTATTATCCAAGTACTGAACATTTTGACAACCTGAGCTCAGAGTATTTTTAATACTTTCTTAACGCTAAATCAAATATTTCATGAGTTTTTGTCATAAGACATTTCTGGAGCTATACATCAGGCACAAAAGTTAATGATGGCTCCTTTAATGTACGGCTGCTTGTGTGTGTGTGTGTGTGTGTGTGTGTGTGTGTGTGTGTGTGTGTGTGTGTGTGTGTGTGTGTGTGTGTGTGTGTGTGTGTGTGTGTGTGTGTGTGTGTGTGTACCGTATGGTGAAGTCCAGCAGGTCCTGCGCTCCAGGTGTCTCCAGGTTCTGGATGACGCTGACCCTGTTCAGACTCTGCTGAAGGAAGAGCTGAGCGGACTCCACAGAACCTGAACCACACCGCGAGTCCACCAAGTCCAGACCGTTGCCTGGCAACTAGGAGACAGCGGGAGACAAGGAGTGTTTCACTGACTGTCTGGTAAATGTTGTGTTAAGTGTGATTGAACAAATAACCTCCGTATCCCTGAGTGCTGCAGCAGCCGTGGTTTAGCGTGTAACTCGCTGCGAGTGACCAGAGGTAAACTGGTGTTTGACTTTCTTTTGTGGCTTTCTCAGAATGTAAACTGGACATGTTGTTGTTATTCTTAATGAAAGTTGGCATGATGGTCAAAGGTGTGCACGTGGCGTGGAACCTTTTTAATTGTTGAGACATGGATAATACGACATTTCAAAATATTACTACAGCATTTCAGTTCTCACTCTCAGGGGCGGCACGAGGTGAGACAGGCTGTCCCTCAGGTAGGCGTAGTGTCTGAAGGTGTGGTCGGAGAACAGCGCCGGCATGGTGGGACACGACTTGGCGGCGTTGAACACCAGCACCAGCACGGCAATGTCTGAGGTCAAGACGGGTGGTCAAAGAAAAGGTCCAGAGTTTTAACTGTTTTAACTTTCAAAAACAACCAGAGAAAACACAGCAGCGTCAGGCTGGTGACTGATGGGACTCAGACTTTATAAAAACAGGTTCTAAAGGCTCCACAGGGCAGCCGTTGTGGAGATTTTTACTCGTAGTGCAGCTGCAACAAAACAAAGTTGATGAGGGTTAGTTTACTCGTATGTTGATGGTTTTTTTTTAAAAATTGTCATGAGAGTGAAGGATACAAGCCGGGTCGTCCATGTCAGGCTCCGGTGTGTCAAAGTACGGGTGAGTGCTGAGCAGTTCAGGAACCAACGGCAACACCAGCGTTGGGTGGCGTGAACCTAGGAACTTCAGACACCTGAGGGGAAGGAAGAAAATGAAATACACACTCAGAGGTCGGGTCTGACAGGTTATTTCTTAGAGTTTGACTGTAACATTGTTGCTCTAACAAGTTTACATTTTTCTATAGTTTGAGACATTTTTTATTTCATAACTTGATCATTAACTTAATATTACTGGACCAAAGTTTTCAAAATGATTGATACTTTGATACCACACGTTTTAAAAAGATTGATCTCTGATATAAATGATCAATCGTATTGAAAAACACCATCGCTTTCAATTCACATCTTCAGTCATATTTTAACCCAAAGCTGATGCAAGCAGAAAAGAGAGAGAGTGATGGAAACGTTGGCAACGATTCAGAAATTATGAAATATTGCCAACGTGTTTGTGCAATTTAGACAATGTGCAGGAGTTTTCCTGGATTTTATAAAAACAAGTAATGACCCAAATATTGGTGCCATGGAATTTCATCTTTATTCCGATGGTGTTGAAAAAGGTATCAATATCATTAGATTTTCACTAGAATAAGTCAGAAGTACTCAGAGCTGGGGCGCTGGTGGTGCAGTTGTTAGTGTGCATGCCCCATGTACAGAGGCTGTGGTCCTCTAAGCAGGCGACCCAGGTTCAAATCCGACCTGTGGATCCTTTCCCGCATTTCATTCCCCACTCTCACTCTTCCTGATTTCCAACTCTATCCACTTAAAATAAATAAATGAGAAAATAAGTAATTTTGTGTGATATTCAAATGTTATTAACCAGGAAGATGATGGCCTGGCGGTTAGGTTGCCATGAGATGACGACAAACTTACGGCGTCATTTTTGATAAGCATGATTTTTGCATCTCTGCCTAAACTAGTCCTAATCCTGAACATGGAACCAAAATATCTTCACCGGTTGTAAAACACACACAGACTCTTACTTCCAGACTGAGTTGCGGTCGGTGGGATATTTGTTGAGATTCTTCAGCAGCTCCAGCAGAGCCAGCTGGATGCACTCTTTGGTGGACACGTTGGTGTAACAGATGAGTTCATGGAGAGCCTCTCTGATGTCACGAGATGAATCCTGAAGATCAACAGGAAACGTCATCAACACGTCATACATCAGACTGGAATAACATGTTGCTGTTTGACTGTAAGTGAGCGTACCTCCAACACGGCCAGCACGGTGTCCAGCTGGTCCTCTCGGAGTGTGATGTGGGTGGAGATTTCTCTCAGCACGTGGATCGACTGCAGCCTCACTTCCTCGATCTCGTCGTTGAACATGTCGACCAGGAAGTCCAGACACTTTTCTGCAAAGGTCGGAGACGACTGAGCGAGCTGGCACAGTGCCTCCACCGCTGCAATACGGACCTCTGAAAGAACATATCAGACGGAGAAGATGTTATTATTATTCAGCAACACAGTGAATACAAAAAACTGTTTTTTTATAGAGGGGAAGCAAGGCAAAAAGAAGAGAAGGTAAGATATGGAAAGAGGAAACTACATTCTCTGGATTTTTTACAAAAACAGATTATGAGGTCTCACAGTTTCACATACCAAACATCTCGTCTTCCAGGCCGTGGACGAAGGCGCCACAGGCCCCCGAGGCGATGAGGTTGACGGTGTTAGTGTCCAGTCTCTCCTTGGGGGCATCGTCGGCCCATTTCCTGCCAGACGAGAACTCTCCAGAAGTGAAGAGTTCCCTGGCACGCTCATGAGCTGTACGCTTCCTCTGAAAAACAGAAAAAAAGGAAAATGCAAGAAATGAGATGTGCTGAAAAACACAGAATCCGGATATCTAATCATGCTCATAGATTAATTAACCCACCCTGAGATCTGACATCAGCTTCTTGTCCAACGTTTGCTCCAGAAAGTGAGGACTGACCTGCAGCATTGAACCCTGTCACACCAGAAAAGATTCACTGTGAATGTTGTCCTTGTGTATTCATTAAAAAGTATTTTCTGATACTCAACATTTGACATTCCTTGCTTAACTTAACACCATGTAAACAGGGCTGAGAGTCATTGTGGTCTTTTCTGTTCACTCACCAGTGTTTTGGCCGCCTGCACTCGGACCATCCAGGAGCCATCGCTGACCATGTGACTGATCTTTCCAAAAACATCATCGACAAGTCGGATCTCCTCATTGGACGACGGGATGGGCACGATGCTGATTTGACAGATGAAACATCAAAGTAAAAGTGAGGACAGGCGAAGATAAACTGGTCAGTAGTGAATGAATTATAAAAGCAAAGAGCCACTTTTTGATACGTTCACTCGTTAAGGAAAGTTCTCAGCTAACCAGCAATCAACCCCACAAGTTTTATTAAGACAAGGCGTGTCATGGAAAAAAGTCTCTGAACCTCAATCTCTTCTCACCTCTCTGGGTACAGCTGGCTGAGCACCCAGCCCATCTGCACAGCTGCAGAGCGGACCTGCTCGTAATCATCGGACAGCAACCTGCAGGCCTGCAAACACAAACCACCAAATGATTATCATCTTTAAAACGACTCTCAATCACTCAAGAGGCGATCTCATGCATGCATCTTTTTAAAACCGGACCTGTATCATTATTTCCCTACACTATAATGTACCTGTAAGGTTCATAAAAAGTGCTGTTACCTGTTCGTAGATGATATCGTGAATCTTGATTCCTCTCTCATGCAGCTGCAGCTGGAACACAAAACAGGAGTACACATAATGAGATGCATCATGTAAAATGAGTTCCTCTGATAAATGGTCCACTGGGGTTAAGTTTTTTTTGATGAGTGCAGCTGTTGTTGGTGTCCTACCATGGCCTTGATGGCTGCAGTGCGGACTCTGGGGTCCTGGTCTCCAAAGTAGTCGCTGATGATACTCTGGACGTCCCTCGATCCTCCTGAAGCAACATGACACATGATGAATGACACAACACAGAACAGAGCACAATCACAGCTCATACATCTGAATTTTCAGGAGTTAATATCAAAAATCTTCAAGTGAATTTCAGTTCTAAATATTTTATGAAGTCATGCACAGCTCCTTACAATAAATGCTCGATGAATTTTGAGGTACAAAAGGAAAAAGACTTTCTTCTGAACACTGTTTTTGATTCCTCTGAGTTTTTAAACATTTAAAGAAATGTGTGACACATAATTCTGTTTAGAAGCTGGAACACGTTCCACCTTTGATCTACAGTAACATGCTGGGCGATTACACGAACCTAACGATGTGCCCGGCCCCTCGTTCTCTTTGGTCAGAGGAGTGTCCATAACGCCAAGACATCCAAGGAGCTGCAGGCACTTGTTCCTGACCCCAAAGTACGTATCAGAGAGGTGCTAAGAGGGAGAAAGAGACGAGACACAGGACAGTTTGTTTTTTAATGTTGCTTTGTGCAAAAACTCTTTTTGAATCGGTGAAGAAAACATGATGATCAGCATTGTGTTCAAACTGTTTCAACCTTGCAGGCCACTTCAATCAGCCGCTGTCTGATCGCAGGACTCTCAGGTAGTTGTGTACCGATGACGAGTAGAGTGTCCAGCAGCTGGGCCAGGACTGGTGGGACTCTGCACACAGAGACGAACAATTGTCCAGACAGTTTCTTCACTTTATGCAAAACTAAGACCCCTTTAAGGCTTATATTTTCAAGCATGGATTAATGCCGCACTTAATCAAAAAACTAAAGCAGGGAAAGCTTAGCTGCCAACACTTGAGACACTGGACATGTTGCACTTTTTTATTAATGTTACTGAACCATCGCCGTTTAGGTACTGTTAATTTGGAACAAAATATGTAATATAAACACAAAAAGTCAAAAAGGTGTCTTACTCTCATTGCTGAGTGTGCTGATGGCGTCATCCACGATGCAGTCAGGGACGAAGCCTTGCGTTTTCGTCAGCAGACCCAGCAGAGAGGCAATCTTCAGCCTCACAGAGTTATCTGTCTCCTGAAAGAGGACATCAGCAACAAGATTACATTTGTTTTCTGTGCATCTCTGCTCAGATTGAACCAATTAAACATTTAACCTTTAAGACAGCAACTTGTGCCGAAGCTGCAATTTAAATACATGCCCGGTAAATCACAGTTACCAGAGGCTAAGCTCACTGAAGAAATCCATGATTTTGAACATGTTCTTGGTCATGAGTTGTTCACCTTATAGTAGTGCTCCAGCAGTATCCTGACCACACCCTCCACGCTCTCCGCCTCCACTGGCTTGCGTGCAAACTGCAGCAGGTACTGCAGGGCATCGGTGGAGTTGGTGGCCTTGCAGAGGTCGATGTGCAGAGCCGCAGACTTGCTGGGCTTAGACAGACGCAGCTTTTTGGCTGGAGCTTCTTCATGGGGAATCTGTGAGCGAACAACAGCCGGGACTGAAAAATACTTTCTACAGCATCTAGATTTCTTGGCAAAACCTTCAACTCGCCTCGTTTAGTCGACGTGACTGCCACATTAGAACAATCTCAAGGATGTGTATCTAATGCAGTCACTATTTCATGAGTGATGATATCGGAGAACAACGAGCTCTGTTTACTTTTAATTCACATTTGCAGCTGACAGAGTATTTATTTACTCATCAATCTACAATTCACTTAGCAGACTCTTTTATCCAAAGCGACGTACATCAGAGAGTAAGAACAACACAAGGAAGGATCTAGAAAAAAGGGAACAATGTGAGTAAGAGCAAACGATCAGCTTTGAGTCTGATTGGACACACAGGTGCTGACAGGAAGTGACCAGAGGCAAAGCACAACATTGAGGGCAGTTCTTGAGAGCTCTAATCAGTATAGAAACCATCTTATAAGTCGTCGTTATCAAACAAAAACCATCGTCATTACCATCATCATCATCAATAATATGGAGACCATCATCATCATCAATAATATGGAGACCATCATCATCATCAATAATATGGAGACCATCATCATCATCAATAATATGGAGACCATCATCATTAAGTTAGTAGGTATTCATAAAGAGCTGGGTCTTTAGCTTTTTCTTAAAGGTGCACACAGCAGCCTCTGATGTCACTTGTTTTCACATACAGGTTCTTACTGCGGAGTGGATGCTGCTCTGTGGTAACCATGGAAACCAATTAGAACGCGCAGAGTGGAACAGAACGTTCGGGTTGCTTGGCAACAGCCTAGTTTCAGTTAAATCCGGGAACTAGTTGAGTTGATGGAGTTAAAACAATGTTCTGTTTTTGATTTTTCCTTTTTATTATTATTATTATTTTCTGCTGTTTAACTGTTTTATAAGTAATATCACACTCGAGGTCGAGCCGTTGTTCTGGATATATCAACACAGCTGTGAGTATCTTCCCTTCAGTACGTCAGCTAGCCCGTTTGCTGCCCACTTAGCTTTAGCTAGCAGGCTAGTTAGCTTCACAGCACAGTGTTATGTTTCCTCCTCTGTGGTAGTGAAGAGTTTACAACGAGCGGACATGTCGGAGGGTTTCACTCTCTTACCTGTACGACTTTAGAGAATTCTTCATAAACTCGCTTTTTCAAATGTGCTGCCATGTTCAGAGAAACACAGCTAATCTTTCATCTGTTCGGCAGAAACATCAAACTGACCCTTCACACTTCCCGTAGTTATCTTCTTCTTCTTCGTGGGCTTTTTTAATGTATGCATACCGCCACCTACTGTACCGGAGGCAGACAATAACAACGAAAAGCAAAGAGAAGAAAACAAATATCTATATATCTACATGTAGACTGAATATACTGTACATATACACTTTTAATAATTTAAAATAAATCTATAATCTATCTTTTTTAATTTATTCTTTATCTATAACTAAATCATTCATCACGATTGTTGTCACAGAAACAAACTACTCAGGTGTACCTTTGTGAAATCGAAGTTCAAGAATGTTCCCGAATGATGATTTAAATAAAGTTAGTATTTAAAAAAACACGACAGCTCTGACACTCTTGGTAATAAAATATTTTACAGCACAGGAGATTCAATAACAGTTGGCAATAATCAACCTTGTCTGCTGATTCTGTAGATGCACGGTTGGGAACGTTAAATTGTATAATTACCAAAATAAAGATTAATTTAGAGCTCTGCTTCAGCTCCCATTATCACAAATTGGTCATTAAAATGCACTGAATTAATGATTTATTTATAAACCATTAAAACATATAACACAAACACATGAATTAGTCAAATCAAAGTGATGCTGTTTGACATTAGAGATCATTTAAACACACAAAAAAGACAGCATATAAAGGTAACTTATTTCAGACACAAAAGTGATTTTCTTTAATCGAAAATATTTCAACATAATAACAAAACAACCTTTAATTTAGTTCATTTACAAGTCCCTCTTTATTCAACTTCTGACACTTTGCTTTCTATCTCCAACAGCGTCCTCCGTAAAAAGCTGAAACACTTGAAGAAGTGATTTGTTTGACGTAAGCATGAAGCGCTGACGTCTTCACTGAGGGATTGTTTCCCTGATTGAGTTAACCTCAAACAGTCTGCGTGTACAGGTGGAAGTAAACAGGAGATGATGTTAGACTCATAATTAAAAGTTTAATCTGAAAAAAGAAACTCAATCAAACCTGATCAACACAACGACACTTCAAAAACTCAAATCTCAGCAATCGAATTTCTTGTCAAAAATACACTTAATATAAGACACATTCACGTGATAAGTCCAGATAAACATCTTATTTCAAGATATAAAGAGCACAAATGAGGCCTGTATTGAGTGTAAACAAGTTTCCCAATGTGGCAAGAAAACATACCTGGTGACTTCTTAGAAATAAGACGTCCTTATTAATTTAGACAGAACATCTCATTTCAGTCAGGAATACTCTGGTCATAGATTTAACCTTTTATTAAACTTAAGGTTTGTACAGTTGTATTTGGTTCTGCTCTGAGCTCTCAGCTGTACCAGTGCAGCATGTCACAGATCAAACCTTTAATTCCCGCCCATGGGGACATGCAGAACAGATCCTGAATGTGCATGTAATGATACTGACATCCTGCAGACATAACAAGTGAACAATTCATCCTAGGATATAAAATGAGCTGACTGAAAGTGGAGGAGGTCCGGGTGGTGGAGGGAGAATTTCACAGCAGAGATTGGTTAGCATCGGGGCGGTTCTCAGATCAGCTGATTATTATCTGGACTTTTGAGTGATGTGGCTTCATATACGTTTAGGAGTGTAACCTGTGACTGTACTTGGAGGACTGTATCCGCTGTGCAGCCGCCCGCCTGCTTTATTCCAACTGAGCAAAACCAGTGCTTCATAATATTTCTTAAAGACATTTGATAGTTGTATTTAATTCAACATTAAAGGGAATGGGTGCAGGTAGCCTAGTGGTTATAGAGCACCCAATGTACAGAGGCTGTTGTCCTCAAGGCGGGCGTCACAGGTTTGAATCCGACCTGTGGCTCCGCTCCCCACTCTCTCTCTCTCTTCCTGATTTCTGACTGTATCCCCTGTCCTATCTATAAATAAAAAAGCCCAAAAATAAAACATTAAAATAACATTAAAAGGAAGATGAAAACGATGATCATCACAATTTAGGAACTTCTCTACAACAACAAGACATCATGTTCCGTCTGCCTCTAAGTACTTGAGGTTTGTATGCAAATAGGAGAATAAAAAATAAAATAGCAATGCTTGGTTTTGATTTTACACATTGCCCCCTTTGCAAAGAAAATCTTTCAGTCCATGAGGATTTTGGATGTGACTCATTGAAAAACCGAACATACAGTACAGCGCTCAGCAGTCATCTGAACTCCTGAAGCTCGATGCCAGCTGTCGATGCCTCGGCCCTCTTTTTGTCCGCCCTCCATGTGAAGAATCCCACCATGATCACCATGACGGGCAGAGCCACACAGAGCACTATGCGGCTGACGGGCAGCGGCACTGAACAATCGCTGACGGCTACAGGAATCACAGAAGGAGAAGGAGAAGGAGAAGGAGAAGAATCTCCAAACAAGAATGTGGACGTGAAGTCCAGAAACAAGGCTTGGTGGTTTCGTGTGGTGTTAATCTGACACCTCAACTTCCTGTTGTTGTCTTCTCTCTGAAGGTTTGTGACCGCCAGAGTGGTGTTGCAGCGATTGTGGCTCATCAGCGTGTACCTGTGAGAGAAGCAGATTATAAAGACAAACATTACAAAGCTGTTTTTTATCACCAGGAATCATTTCATTCACATTGTAGTGTCAGGTTGTCAACAGATCAAAATATCATAAAGGGCTGTCCATCTGTCTGAGGAGTTACAGCTTGTCTTCCTCAGTTTATTTTATTTTTTATTTTTTATATGTAAATACTTGCTGCTGTTCTTATCCTGCACTACAACGAGCCAAATGCAACAAAATTTCGTTCTTATCTGCACTGTAAAGTACAAGTTTGAATGACAATAAAGAAAGTCTAAGTGTCCCAGTGTGACGATGCCAGTCTATTTTCCCTCTCTGTGTGATTTCTTGTTTGTCCAGTGTGTGTGTGTGTGTGTTTTCCGTGAGGGCTCCATGACTCTGAAACGACCTGCCCGAGGAGATCAGGTGGGCAGAATCACTCATCTCTTTTTTAAAGATTTATTTTGGGCTTTTTGTGCCTTTAATGCAGAGAGAGGACAGTGGATAGAGTCAGAAACCAGAGAGAGAGAGGACAGTGGATAGAGTCAGAAACCAGAGAGAGAGAGGACAGTGGATAGAGTCTGAAACCAGAGAGAGAGAGGACAGTGGATAGAGTCAGAAACCAGAGAGAGAGAGGACAGTGGATAGAGTCTGAGACCAGAGAGAGAGAGGACAGTGGATAGAGTCTGAAACCAGAGAGAGAGGACAGTGGATAGAGTCAGAAACCAGAGAGAGAGAGGACAGTGGATAGAGTCAGAAACCAGAGAGAGAGAGGACAGTGGATAGAGTCAGAAACCAGAGAGAGAGGACAGTGGATAGAGTCAGAAACCAGAGAGAGAGAGGACAGTGGATAGAGTCAGAAACCAGAGAGAGAGAGGACAGTGGATAGAGTCTGAAACCAGAGAGAGAGAGCAGGGAGTGACATGTGGAAGGGGGCACGGGTAGAGGCGAGCCTGGGCCTACCGCTTGAGACGAGAGTCTCAATACATGGGACGCGCGCCCTAACCATTGCGCCACCAGCGCGCCCCATCATTCATCTCTTTTAAGTCCCTTCTTTTTAAGACACACTTTTTCCGACAAGCCTTTTCTGATTTTTGTAGATTTTAAATTGTTACTATTTTCACTTTTTAGAATTCCTTTAAAATAATTGTATGTATTTTTACAGTTCTTTTAAAAGTGATTTTATATCTTAAAGTGATTTTTATTCCTTCATCTTGTCTTGTTTATTATTCTACAACCTGCCTGTTTTTACATTTGCTGTCCTTGTAAAGCACTTTGTAACTTGTTTTTGAAAAGTGCTCTATAAATAAAGATTATTATTATTATTATATTATATTATTATTCTTGCGCGACGCCATATCGTTAGTTTACCCATCGTGGTATTTTTAAGTCAGAACTTAAGATTTGCTTTATTTATATTGTCTTCCCATGCCTCAAATCTCCATCGTTCCACGGCCAGCTCCACGACCTCGCCTCTCTGCGTCTACCGGACACACTGAAGAACAAGACACCAGAAAGCAGCTCTCACACCTCAGACCTCCCAACCAGAATCCAACAGACATACAATAAATAACTTCTTAACTTAATGGCTGAAGGTTTTTGTGTTTAATTTAGACACTTTGCAGAAGTTTGTCTGAAACTTTTGATACTTTTTTCCTCTTTAAAAAATCTAGAAAAGACCCTATATTGGGAGCCATGGACTTCTATTTTGAACGCTGATGAAGGCTTAGCGCTGAAACGCGTCTGATATTGTTTTGCTGTTCTTCCCCGGATAAAGGAAACTTAAAGGACAAATGTGTGCTGACTTTTCTGTCTCTCTTTTTTAGTCTTGTTGCGGCCGTGCGACTGAAATCGTGTCAACTGTCGAGTGTGCTCCTTTTTTTGGCTGTTGTTCTATTTTGGTTGCCATGGTTTCAGAAATGGTACCGATATCATTTGATCATTACTTGTATCATTTCAGACTTTCCTTTTTTTTGGGTTAGGGTTAGGGTAAGGTGTCACAACCTGGCTCAAGGGCCTAATGGTTATGTTGCCCAGCCCCATGTACAGAGGCTCAAGTCCTGTGGATTCAAATCCGACCTCTGCCCTTTGCTTGGCTGCAATTTTCTGAAGAAGTTTGTGGTAATCGTCCTTGGAGAAGGGAGGCATCTTGTTGCTGATTAGCTTTAGCTGTTCACAGCGTTTCAAAGTACTGCGGCACAGGCTTATGCTCTTGTCAGGCTACAGTCATGTAGTGATGCAGAGGTCAAAAAAATATTATAAAATATGGCTAAAGACCTTCTGAATCTATCAAAAAAATACAGTCCTGAGGATTTGGAAATGTCCAGGACCGGCTGTCGATTAAATTAGGTTTAGCAAAAAGAAGGAGCAAAAGAATGTAAGCAAAGCAGAGAGCAAGAAGAAAAGTGTCTGCAGGGTAAGAAAGATCGCCCAACTTTTCCCGTCCCTCTTCAGCTGTCCTATCAAATAAAGGTAAAAATGGCACCTTTGAGACCCACTAAAAACAGCTCCTCGCCAGCACCACCAGTTGAGAACCACTGCTCTATCCATATTTTCACATTATAATTAATCAATTTCAATCAATCAATCAATTTTTATTTGTATAGTGTCAACTCATAACAAGTGTTATCTGGAGACACTTTACAAAAGAGCAGGTAAAAGACCTTACTCATTGTTATGTTACAAACAGCAGGTAAAAGACCTTACTCATTGTTATGTTACAAAGACCCGGCCTATCCATCATGAGCACTTTAGCAAAGCAGCAAAAGTTACAGTGGTAAGAAAAAACTGTCTTATTAAAAGGCAGAAATCTTTGGCCGGATCCCCGGCTCATGACTAAACAGCCTTCACAGGCCTAGACTGCGCCAGGCTTGGAAGGGGATAGGGGGAGAGATGGGATAAGATGCAGGAAGAGGGATAGGGAGCAAGGGGGTGGTCAACTAATAGGATACATTATAGTGTTCTTGTTAAAGCTGTTACAGTGGTAATAAAGGAGTATCAGTGAAGAGGAAGAACAGAAAAGTGTAAACCTGGAGTCTCGGAGCAGCTCAGTGTCGTCCACGGTCGTCCAGCTGAGGTCGAACACGTTGGAGTACGACTTGCAGCTCCCCGCGTCAAAGAAAGTGAACAGCACGCAGCTCAAGCTGAGGTTTCCTCCACGCTGCAGGTCCGTGACGGTGGAGACCGACGTGATGGTGAGGACGGAGAAGTAGATGTCAGTGATGCTGTTCCCGTCCTGCAGGCAGACGTAGGAGCCGGCATCCTTGGTCTTCAGGTCCCGCAGGACGAGCGAGCAGTTGGGCGAGAGGGACATGCGGTCGACCTTGTCCGAGTCCGCCCGCACCTTCCCCTGGTCGACCTCCGTGGTGTACCGCACGCCGTCACCTTTGAAGAAGAAGGTCCAGGAGATTCTGGAGCAGTCCGAGATGATCAGGTTGGTGCACGGCAACAGAGCTTGATCTCCGGCCGTGCCGTACACAAACAGAGACTCCTTTTCACACCGGACACCTGCAAACACAAAAAGACAGCTTTTAACCAGCCGTAAAAAGATTAACCCCTTTTCTTAATAGCTCGATTGGAGTATTTTTTTGTATTGTCCGTTTGTTTTATTTTATTGGATTTTGCATTTGTTAATGGTGAAGAATGGGGGTAGGACTTGACAAGCCTAGGCTTCTTCCTATCAATTTTCGAACAAGCCAAACGTGTATTATATTGAAATTGGCTTTTTATTTTTTTATTTTTTTTATACAATTTTTTTTTTTATTTGTTTATTCATTTTCGTCTATTTGTAATCGTTCGAAATCAAGAATAAAGAAAAAAGAAAAAACCCACAAACATGTCCTAATGTGTCTCATGTTAATTAATCCAAGTGTCTTATCATGAAGTGATGAAGAAGCAGAGTGTGTGGCAGAGTGAAAGGATGAAGAGGTCAAAAACATTTGTAGTAAGAAGATTGACTTTATTCACTTTTTTTTTTAAGATTTATTTTTTGTCTTTTTGTTCCTTTAATGTAAAGATAGGACAGTGGATAGAGTTTGAAATCAGAGAGAGAGAGAGAGGGGAATGACATGCGGGAAAGGAGCCACAGGTCGGATTTGAACCCGGGTCGCCCGCTTGGAGGATTACATCCTCCATACATGGGGTGCGCGCTCTAACCACTGCTCCACCAGCGCCCCTATAAACTCCTATAAACGCCCCTATGAACATAAAAGGACATGTTTCGGCTTGTGGCCTTCCTCAGGGAGGGGCGGGTCTGGTCTGGTCCAGGTCACTTCCCAAATACTGCAGAAGTGTCCTCTGGGAAGGCACCGAACCCCCCCAGCAGCTTTGGCGCGCTCCCTGTGTAGCAGCCGCCCCCTCTGATATCCCTCCACTAACGCATGTCCACAGCTCCTGTTTGTGCGTGTGTGTGTGTATGTTGGGCCAATGTGTGTAAGAAACACTACTCTTAATAACCCAAGAAGTATTAAGAAAAAAGAAACTCAGGGTTATTAGATCAACTTGTCAGTTCATCTTCATACCTCAAGTGTTGCTGCGAGATTTTTGACCTTTCATCTTTTTTATTTAAACATTTTTATCGGAGTTCTTCCCTCTCTTCCAGAGTTTCAGGAATTTGATTTTCAAACAACTTTGTTTCAGATTGTTACTGTTTGAAATGATCTCAGTGGTTTTTGTCACAGATTCTGAGTGTTTGATGTGTTTTTTGCTTGTTTTACTGTGCTCGTAATCTCGACGGCGTTGGAAATGAGGGAAACCTCAGTGTCTTTTTGAGAATAAATAATGGTTTGAAATGAAATGAAAATGAAATTTAGAGATAGGAGAGAGGAGAGAGTCAACCATCAGGGAGAGGGAGAGGGAGAGAGAGAGGGAGAGAGAGAGAAGAGAGAGAGAGAGAGAGAGAGAGAGTGGGGAATGACATGTGAGAAAGGAGCTTGGAGGACAGGCTATTGGTGCTTGACCTCTTCTCTTTAAATGATCCCTACCGACCTTTAACCTTATAACATAATATAATCATTCACAGACCTCCCCACGTTTACTCTGAATTAAAAATACACAGCGTCAGATTTTTTTCAGTCGTTTCGGTCAAAAGCTAAAATGTAAATGTAGAATCGTGGAGCGTCACTGTGTTATGGAGGTATTTCGCTTGAGTTAAATGTTTGGGATGAAGTTTTATATTTTCTATATTTGATGTATTTTTAAACATTTATTCGACAGCTCTAGTTTTCTCTTTGCCTGACACGTCTCTCATCCTCAGATTTCTCTCGTCTCCCTCTGAGGGGGATCTGACCCTCATGTTGGGAACAAACTCTAGAAGGTATAAAGTAGTAATCTATAAAATGTCAAACATCAGTCGCATGTTGTACTAATACCTTCCATTTGATATTTACATTTTGTGCATTAACTCTGATAAAGTGCAGCTTTTTAAAACGATTGGAGTGCTGATTTTAGTTTAGGGAAGCATCTGCATACTTCTGTCACTACTAAGTAAATCCAATCCCACTTTAACCAGAATCTGAAATAACCAACTTTACCTGTAAGGAAGAGGCTGACGAGCAGCAGAAGTCTCTCAGGGTTTCTCTCTCTCGTCATGTCTCTGTGTTTTCAGCTCCTCAGCAGCTCTGTGTGCGTCTCTGCTGCGTCTCTGCTGCGTCTCTGCTCTTTCTAGAACATCATTTTCACTTCCTGTGTGACTTCAACAGCACACAAACATCAGCCTTCATGCTCACTGTGAAGAGGGGCACTAATGTAGGACGTCTTTTTAATATTCAGTATTACATCATTAACACATCACTCCAGGTTTATAATAGTTTGGATTTATTCCATTTTGACTTTTTGTTTTTAAGTTTAGTTTTAATGGTTTATTAAAGGAAGAATGTGCAACATGTTAAACATAAATAAATCATAAAGTCCATCCTGTGTAAATGTGTCTCTGAGTCCTGACTGTCTACAATGAGGGAGAAGCTCGAGTCCCGCTGGCTGTGTTGTTGTCAGAGCCGTGTTTACATGGACGGGACGGCCGGCTCCTCCCCTTGTGTATAAAAGCTGTTTTAGTCAAGAACTAGAGAGAAGAAGAAGAACATACTCACTGATTATTTGGATGTTAGTAAGAGTTTTTAGATCACGCTCATTCTGTGTCAGTTTACATGAAATGTGAAGCTACGAGCTAACTAAAGAGCGCTAACATTAGCATGCTAACACAACAATGTGAAGCTACGAGCTAACTAAAGAGCGCTAACATTAGCACGCTAACACAACAATGCAGGACACTTTTGTCCGCTGCTTGTGCTAAATTTTGATGCGTTCTCATGAATAACTCCTTTGGTTGAACGTGAGTGTAGAGGGGTTGGAGGTGTGTCTCTGGAGGAGAGCGGAGGCTTCAGTATGGAGGAGGCGTGGCCTAACAGCAGTTTAGTGCTGGTGCTCAAGGTGCTCATCTACTGGATCAAAAAGTCACACTTTCTTCCTTTAATTTTTTTTGGCCCTTGTGCCTTCATTAGATAGGACAGCTGGGAGGAGAGAGTGGGGGACAACATGCAGCAAATGTCAGATTTGAACCCCCTGCTTTGTAAATTCATAATTTATTTTTTATTTATTTTTTCTGGCTTTTTTGGAGAGATAGGACAGTGGACTGAGCTAGGGGGGCATGTAGGGCTTTGTAGGTGATAATGAGGAGATTGAAGTGGGGGATGGGCAGCCAGTGGAGGTTATGGAGTATGGGGGACGATGTGGTCACGGGGGCGGGAGTGTGTGAGAGGACGAGCAGCAGAGTTCTGGATATATTGTAGTTTTTAAATGTATATATTTGTACTCATAGGCCTGTATAGCAGTTTTGCAGTGTGTCTTGTCTGTGCTTCCTTTGTCCAACTTTTCCTTGTTTTTAAGTGTACTTTGTCACTTTGTTTGTCTGTACATGAGAGTCACGTCTTGGCCAATAAAACTGAATCTGATTTATTAAAGGTGGCATCGTGAAATATCTGTCGAATGATGTTTAGTCTGGGTTTGTTTAGTGCAGGTGGAAAGTGACCTGATGCTTTGACTTTATTTCACATGACATTAAATCTCCTCTTTACTAAAGTTTACACAAGAAAAGTATTTTTTAGTCTCATGAAATGGTCTGAACGGGAAAATGTTCTCTGCGTTGTACACTTCCGTGATATAACCCACTGACATGTTACAGACGCTGACAGTATTTTCTCTCTCGCTGGTTTCTAGCGCTTCACCTGTTTTTTTTTTTTTTAAGATTTATTTTGGGATGCACCCATTAAGTAGGCTGCTGGGTCAACCGTGTCCATCGATGCCCCGTGTGACTCTATTGAAGGAACCTTCGTTCGATGGAAACACCGATCTCTGATAAAAGCAAAAACTTCACAATTTTAGGCAGAACATAAACTCCAGTGTCAGCCGGCTCGGGTTAGATTTTAGATCACTTTATTATGAGAAAGACAGCAGGACATTATCACTGTCACTGTTCCTATAAAGACATTAAAGGTGTGAACAGCTACGACGTGCAGCCTGTTTTAGATGTGGGAACGGGGGTTTCAAGAGGAAGTCTGATTGTGACACATTGTGGTACATTTCATTTCTTAGAAGAGAGGACAGAACTCACTGAGGCCTGAATGTTTGGCCGTGAACACAAAGTGTCTTCCAAAATGGATAGCGTTGTTCAGGGTTCTTTTCCAACACAGTCCCACTTAAATAATAATCATAATAAAAAAAACATCCTAAGTATGTCAGAGCAACCTCAAGGACCAGTAGTAGAAACAAGGAATAGAAACAAGGAATAGAAACAAGGAACAGAAAGAAACATGATCTACAAAACCATCAAAACAAAAGTCTACAGTCATGCTCGGCGAGAAAACTGCTAATGTTCGTCATGATGATTTTTTAGCATGTGTGATGTCAGGATATCGTCGTCAAACTACATTTCATTTTGATGCACTAACCTGATGGAACATCTTGAAGGAAGCTCTAAAGATCGAAGTTCTTCCCTCTTAGCAGAGTTTTAGGACTTTGATTTCGAGCCACTTTGTTTCCAATTGTAAATGTTTTTTGTTTTCATTTAATTTCACATAATTTATTAATCACCAAGGGGGAAATTCTGGTTTTACACTCTGTTATTTAGAGACATGCTCCTCACACACATAGGCCCAAAAAGAAAAACAATCAGGACCTGTGGACACTAATGGAGAGATGTCAGAGTGCTGCTGCTAAACGCTGCTACACAGCTGCTGGGGGTTCCTCAAGGGGGAACCTCACTAGGAACCAGACCAAAGTCCCTACAGATTGAGCTACTTGACTGGGTTGCTACAGAGGGAGCATGTCCATTAATATTTACAGTCTCTGGTCCTGACCCGGTAGTTGAGCGCCCCTGTTGGAGAGGAACGTCGGGGGAACGTGCCATCATCATCAGGGGGAGTATAAACGTTTGTCAAAAAAGTGATAACAATCGAAGTGGTAGACCATCAGAGAGATCACCATTTCCCCCCTCTGCCTCGGTAAAAGTGTGAAATTCAGTGTCAGATAAAGACTGACGCTCAAAACAAAAGGTTTCCAACCAAACTAAAACATTTCAATTCAAACTAAAAGGAGCACTTTTAGAGCTTCTACTTGTTACTATTGTAATAATAAGACAATGAATATAAGAGGGGAAACGTTCTTGCCTGCAAAACCTGCAATAAACTTGAAAAACCTGATGTTTCATCCTATTTGTTTGTTTCTTCCTCTGAAGGCTCTCATAGTTTCTGTCACACTGACATGTTCCCTCTCATGCTAACCCTGATATATCTGCTTTTCAGTCAGTCTCTGCGGCCTATTTTAAACGGCCTGAATGTGGTTCAAGAGTATTTTTACTGTTTCATGATTCTGCATGTTTTTACCTTTGAACAAAAAAAACATCCAGCTGAAGCCACTGAAATCCAAATATCCTACTTTTAAGATACATTTAAAGGCAACATGATGTTTTTAAAGCGTCAAGACTCCGAGCTGACTGGACGCTCCAACTCATACAGAGCATGAAGGAGGTTTTTCCGCCTCGCTCACAGACACCATGGATTCATAACAGAGTTTTCTTGTTAATCTTCGGCCTCTCAGGTGCAGGACACCAGCTCTGTGTTGTTGCTTGTTTTTCAGTCTCTCCTCACACAGGAAGTCGTCTGACATTAAAGCTGTCAGTTGGTAGACACCCTGCCCGGCTCTGTGGTGAACACTGGGGCCACTGCTCCACTTTCTAACATGCTTGTTCAACACTTTTATGACTTTCTCAAAGCTGCTGAGTACCAAAGTGTTGTTTGTATGACGCATTACTTAGAGGTGTGAGGGATTTCCCACTCATCTTAATTACAATAACATAGACCCAGTACATATACTGATATTACATCATTCAATTCCATGGTGCTGTTTACTACTCAAGTACACATGAACCACGCTCGAGACCACCTCTTTAGGAGACTCGGGCACGGTACCAAAGTACTCTACGAGTACAGTACGTTAGTGTTCAAACTGATCAAATGAACCGGACTTTGGGGTCAAGCGTACGTAGTGTGAAACCACTCTTATTGAAACTGGTTAAAATGAGTTTAGTATGTGACCTTTAATCGGTGTAAAACATTTAAAGTTGTTCTTCACGGTTTTGGTGATTTTCTTTAAATGTTCATCAAACTTGAGCTGTGGATCTAAAATGATTCCTAGGAACTTAAACTCATTAATATCCTCTTTTTCTTTAGTCTTCATCTTATCGTTAAAACTTCAAAGTGAGCACAGTTTCCTTCTTTTTTTAAATCACATTAAAACAGTTTTCTTTAGATGAGAAAACAAGGCGATTGTGTTCCAGTCAGGATGTGATGAAGAGAAAGTGAGGGGTGGATTGGACACACTTTAAGAAAAGCAACAGACAACGTCACAAGGCAGGCACTGGACTGGGATCCACAGGGGAAGAGGGGAGGCCAAGACAGACTTGGAGAAGATCAGTCGAGAGTGAAGCCAAGAAAACCAGACAAACTGAAGAAAACTGCTCAAAACCGAATCCGTTGGAGGGGTGTGGTTGCTGCCCTATGCTCCACTTAGGAGTCTAAAAGGAACAAGAAGAAGATTGTGTTCCAGACACCGACAGACACCAGAGAGGTTCTCCTTCTCGTTGTTCTATTTTCATCACTCGTGGTTTCAGTGTTTTGAAAATGATCACATTCTGTTTGTTACCTTGTACACAACGTCCTGCAGCTTTTTGAGCTCTCGGGGTTCTCTGTTCTTAAAGAGCACACAGGAAACCAAAATCTTTGTGAGAGAGGGTAGTTATGGTTGTTTATTAAAATGAAGCAGCACAAAGACGTGATGTCACTCACAGTACAGATTAGAATTAAAGGTACGTATCGTTTTAAACTCTTATTTACAGTTTTACTAAAAGAATCTCCTCCAATTTTTTCCATTTCTTTAATAGTTTAAAATATCGTACAGATAAAACTCTCTAATGATTCATTTCTAGGAACAGTATGTACAGTTTCCTGTTGATTAAAAACAGTCTCGTCACCACCAGGTGAAGGTGACTCTGTAGAAGAAGTCGTAGCTCTTGGACATGAAGCCCTTCTGCTCGACGTTAGGCCGGACGCTCACGCTGTAGCCCTGACTCTCGATGTCCATCTTCACGCAGTCC